CCCCAAAACCCCAAAACCCCAAAACCCCAAAACCCCTTTTATTTATGATTTTATTGAAAAATATTTTTGCAAGAGAGGGACTAAATATGGAAAGTAGTGGGGAAAACATGATGAGGGATGGTCAGAAGGTAGTTTATTGAGGGTAGAAGGCTGGTATTGGGGTGTTAGGGATAGAAGATTGATTATTTGTAGGAAAGTGACCGAGATTCAGAAATTGACCTTGCAAACCCTCTGCTGTATACTGAAGAGAAGCAAAAAGAGCCTGTAAAGGATTGTGAGGATGATAATATGCTCCAGAACATGTGGCCTCTTGTGGAAGAGATCTCTAAAGCAGTTGCTGATGAAAGTAGAGGTATTCACATATTTTACATCTGTATATTTGAACTTTAATGCTTGCAAGGATTTTTACTACCCACTTGTATAGATTCTGAAATCAGAAAACATCAACAAGAGCACTCTAATAAAGCTAGTCAACCCATCACTGGCATTTACAATGACAACCATACCTACCACAACAAAGGGCACAAACGAATCGAAAGCTTACACGTGATTGCGCCATCACGAAAGCAATTCTCCGGACACCATAAATCTGCAAAGTCGCAAGTTCCAGAGTTCAACCCAGATTTCGAGTTCATGAAGAGACATGACAAGTGAAAGATGGACTTCTCTGTGAACGACGGCTCTATCAAGAAGAGTCTGTCAAAGCTCGAACTTGACTCCATGATCAGCAGACTTCACAAGTGAGGCCAACTCTACGATCTGAACAAGAAATAACAGGCAAACCCAAATGGAACATGAGATCATGAGTTCGCTGTCATTTCATCCTCGTATCAGTCATAAGTCAAAGAGCATCATCAAATCAATGAACACAAGCAAGCACAATCTAGGAGTGTCAATGGAGTATCTTCCGATCTACCACCAACAAAGACTTGACAGCATCGAGAGTTCAAAGCAGTCCAAACTCGATAAGTTGAAAAGCGAGCTCCAGCACAAAGAAGACCTTAAATAAGCACGAAGAAGACCTCATTTTGCACAAAGTTGCTGAAATGACATCAGCTTCAAAGTACAACCACCATGCTCACATGAAGAAGATCAGTGATTACTGTAAAGCTTATGATAGAAACAAGCAAGAATATCAGCTCCAGAAGCAACGACAGTATTCAGAAATGACTTTCAAGCCCACTGTGAACAAGAAGAGCAGACACCTTGCCAACAAAACTCTCAAGAAGCTTCCTAATAACAAATCAGATGATCCCAGGAAAATCAAGAGGATGGACAAACTCCGAAAAGACACTGAGCCAACATTCATGCCTCGAATCAACAAACGGTCCAGGCTCATAACCAGTAGAGCCAAGCAAGTCAAGACCAGAATGCTGTCTCCGCGAAGAATGGCCAACAGAGACCTCAAGTATGTGGATTCGGTAGATGGTTCCAGAAACGACGAAGTCATTTGCAGACTCGAGTATGATATTGACGAGTCTGCCCACAACCTTCTACGAAGCTTGAACCTTGCTAGTGATGAGAAGTCTTATGAACTCAGAAACATGTCTGACTTAGTCCCAGCCAGAAATACTCAGAACGAGTATGAAATGACATCGAGAGATGCCTTAAACCTGTTTGGAGCTGGAGACCAAGAGTTTCAACGTCAACTTATGTTTATTTATCAACAACAACAGCTGGATCTCAATGATCGAGAAGACGATGGAGTGACCCAACAACACATGGGCAACATTCCAGAAGAACCACAAGACCAGTCCAATGTGGAGTTTAGCCAAAGAGACCACTCTCAAGATATCATCAGACAAAAACAGTATGAGACCCACAACTGCACCACAGACCATGAGTTTTATGACAACGACGATGTGCAAGATTTGCAGCAACACGAACTTGGCCATACTTGTAAAGACAGAACTGAGCAAATGCTTCAGCAGAGCAAACAGAGCTACCACACTCCTGACCACAGAGTGCGAACTCTCTGTCACTTGGACACCGTCAAAGAAGCCACTGTCGAAGAAACCTATAAGAATGAGGCCACTCCTTACCACAGAGGCACCACCAACGAACAAGACCGAGACCCCACAGAAAAAGACAATATCGACATTCGCAATTACGAGAGACACGACCGTTTTGATGAAGCAGAGTCCAAAGACAGTGTCAAAATGGCCAACTACAACAGCGATGTTAGAGGTAACGAAGGGTCAGCTCATATTGAGGCTAAATCTTCAATGGCTCATGAATCTCAGTCAGAAAGTGTGAATGAGCATTCTGGAGAACTTTATAAAGAACCCTCTGTACCTCCTAGTGAGCAAGAACTTGGCCTGGGGTCGCTGCAGCTGCTCGAAGGCATCCTCAAACAGTACAAACACTGTGTAAAGTAGTTTCAACAGAAGCCCTGTTCGAAGGGGTTTTGGGGTTTTGGGGTTTTGGGGTTTTGGG